CAACTCTTACCTTAATGTGTTCTGAAGTTTCCAAACACTATCATCTGAAAGTCAACCTTATTTTCAGCTGCTCTGTCAAGAGAAACAAAATCAGTTTTTGCCTGTAATCCTTAAATGCTGTTTGGGGGTTGCTTTTGCTAAAAGACAAAGCAACTGAATTTCTCCATCAACCTGCGTTACATGTGAAGTTACTTGAATCGAATATAATAATGAGGATTTAATAAAGTATTAGTGCATTCATTGAGCTCTACAGTCACAATGTCAGCAGGTTACACTAAGGGTTATTCTCTTGAAAAGAAAACTTCCCACCTATGAACTTTGCAACCTTGTACATATAAATAAGATATGCTTCTTCCTTTCACAAAAAAATGAGCTGTTATTGCAATGTATCTTGTTTTATTAGGTGACAACTTTTTTTAACAATATAAAGCATTTATTTCTCAAACCAAATGACCTTGTCTGTCCTAAAAAACATAAAGGTGGTTGTCAACCGTGCACCATAGTCACTTGGAGTAAAAGCTGGAATTTCAAAGTATTGAATAAGACATTTTGCATATTTTGATAAGTAACAAACTGAGATTTGCTTTTGAGTTCATGTTTCTTCTTCGTTCTTTCTTTAATTCCCCCCCTCCCCCCCCCCCCCCCCCATTATAGCAACTTCGAAGGGCGGATGAAGTGAAAGGAGTTGCTTGTAGAGGCGGACCCCTCAAAGTAAATATGTTTACAAACTTTCCGCAAGTTTGTTTACTCAGTTATCGTTCACAACTTACGCTTTAGCAGTCACACTTGCTTTCTCTACTGGCTCCCATTTTTCCCCAAATGTTGCTTTTTTAAAAATCTTTTGACGTTTTCGCCACAAATTTGTTTTCATATTAATTTAACATTACTTATTTCTGTTTGGAAATGATGAAGAAAATGCGGTACTCGTACTTATACATGTGTCTTCTATACCTGTCAAGCTTTTTTTTGTTTTGTTTGATAGTTTGCTGAACAGGCTGTTTTGCCTCGTTTCCGTTAATGTTCTTGTATAGCGTCTTATTTGTTGCATTGAATGTAAATAAATTTATTTAAGGTGTATTTATTACAATGATAAAGACAAGAGATTATTTCTTACAGAGGAGAAAAAACAGAGCCACCTTCTACTTACATGTCAGCAATAGATTTACGAACTTTACATAATATTCCTCACTGCCTAAACTTTAAGATTTGTAATGGTACCTTAAGGCTGCAATTTATTACAGAACATGTTTTCATGGTCTTTCAGATATATTAATTTATTTGGCTTGTTTCGAACCAATTAACTAAATCAAGTAGAAGTTTTAAATTTGCAGAAAAAAGGATATTTTTTATTTAACAATCTCAACCTTCTTACTTTTCTTTCTATAGCAGAAATTTGTTTTTTAGGCATTGTTGCTCAGCCATTTTTGCAATTGATAACTATGACGGAAAACTGTGTGTATGTGTACATACGTATCTCAGTGAATGGACAATCACAGAGTTGATCCTCTTCCCCCCCTCCTCCCCAGTCCAGAATCAGTTGCGGTGCCATATCCAGTCCCTTTTCTGGGTGAAATGAGCTGAAAACAAATACACTTCTCACTGTTAGTGCTACTTAACTTGCCTATTGAGAAAGAAGATTTAAATTAGAGTCGAGATTCTGCAGCAGAAAATAAAAAATGTATTTCAAAGAAAATGGCAGTGAGGGTTTAATATCTAGACATAAAAATGACCATTTCTCTTTCCCCTTTCTTCTCCCCTCCCCCCAAATTTTGGAGGATTTAAAATGTGCTACCTGAGGTGAGACAGAAAATTATAGGTTTTTTAAATACTAAGTGTTGTCTCTTAATCAGCTGTAACTATTGTAATCATTCAATAGCCTTCCAGATTTGCAATCTTCTCATATACTGTGTACATCATCAACTACACAGAATGAACTGATTCTTTTGTAACAATGGGATGATATAAATTGGACAAAACTATTGCTCCAAATTTAAGATTGTGTGTGGGTGTGTGTGTGTTTTGTGTATCTCAGAAAAAATAAATTGACACACAGAATGGTTTCACAGCAATAATTTGCTCAGCTGATGGTTATGAGCTGTTTGCGTATTAACGTGGTTGGTGACTTGATTGAACTGGATGGAAATTGATTGAACACTTTTGGGTGTCCATAATTCTCTAGTTAATATGACATGTATGCCATGCTCAGTACTTCTGTTCCACTGGTTAACTTACCACTGTAGCTCAACTATCAATTTTGATGTGAGTATTTTATTACATTTTCTTTGTCTCTTTCTCCAGTACAGGGGAAGCCTGTTAACGCCCTCTTTACCACTGTTTCCTGGTACATGCCTCACTATTTTGCTGTTGCTTTGTATACCTGAGATAACCAGAAGTGCAGTACACACAGCTGCCGTCTTTGACTAGATGGCTATCCGTACTAAAAAATGGCCTACTTACAGGTGGAAGGTCATTGCTGACATCACTTTCTGTAGGTTATGCAAATATCAGGCATTGCTGATGTCATGCGTTGCTTATGTCACTTCCAGTGCTTTGTAATGTACGATAATATGACAACACAAACATGGGCCATTTTTTGTGCTTTACTTATAACATGGTCACTAAGATATTGGACCCAGAGGATTGCACTGTAACAGGATTGCCCTGTGTACATTCTGTCTCTTGCAAGTCTTAAGAGTTTGCTTTTCCTTTCCAACTAGTTCACCTGTATTTTATGTTTTAAGAAGTTACCACTGTTATTTTTATACATCAACCAGAATTTATTTTCATGTTTGTAGGAATGGTAGATTTCACTTTTGTAATAAGGATAGAACTGCTTGTTAGCTTGAAAGTATCGATCATAAAAAGAAGTGGATGTGCTTTTTAATGGCAGGGTGATCGGTGCTTCTTCAGTAGTGTTTACCATTTGGGTAAACCGTAGTAGCACATTAATATGCAACTCCAGCCAACCACAGATTCATCCCCTTGTACAGTAACATGCAGTAGGCTTAGAATCATGAATGTCACTGTATCTAACTCGTAAACAAGTGGAGAGAGGCAGGGTTGACTGAATTAAGACCACTATGCATATATCTTTATTGGATTAAAATTAGTAATAGACAGTTTATTTTCATTAAGCAAACGGCATTCTCCAGATTTTGAGCTTTACTACAGCTTTTGGTCTGAACCTACAAAGTCAAACTGGGAACCTGTCACTGTAAGTGTTAAATAAAGTCGAGTATGCTTAATGTAATTTTCCTTCGGATAGGATGAAATTATAACACTGTGTAAAATAGCAATAAGGGAACCCTCCTCATAAACACTTGCAAACACTTCCAGGCTATATAGAATTTCAAGATAAGAAAATAAAGTAAAAAATTCTATCAGCAGCCCCATATTTTGCTTTGCTCATTCAGTTACAAAGTAAAAATAGGAGCTGAGTGTTGTGGGAAAACTATGTGTGGGGAATACTAATTTTCAATTGGCTTCAGACCTATACAGATTGCAGATGCTTCTCTACATCAACCACAAATCACAATAGGTTGTCTGTTTCAACTGCTGATACATGCATGAGAGCAGAATGTCACAGCCGTAGGTGGTTAAGAGTATCATGAGATTTCTTTCAACCAAAGAGACCACATTTGAAGAAGAGCTCATTACTCAATGTGCAGTTCAGAAAATCTCTTGCATCAGAGATCCTGGAAAGCTGTAATCACACATTTGAGTGTTGCTCTGCGTGTAGACAGAGTTTGATTCTTGAGATCCTTACTGGGAGTGACCTTGTAATTTATAAACCTTCTGAGAAATAAGTGCAGTTTCTAATGCCTGTCTGAATATTTTTTTCATAGCAAAATTGAGTTTATTATTGTTTTGAAGAGGCAGGATTTATTTCCAATGACTGCAAAATGATGAAACCATATCACATATGCAGTGTAATTCATTGCAGCTTTAAATTAGTCCAGAAAACATAAATTACAGTTAATACAGTACAGTACTTTAAAATGTAGGCAGGTTTTCACGTTTCAACTTCATAGAGAGGTAGTGAGGAATGTAGACATTCTCTTTTTAATAGAACGGTTGTTTAAATACTATTCTGATGTTTTGCATGTAGCTCCATCATAAGGTGGAGCACCTCAACGATCAACTGGAAGGAAATGTAAAGCTCTCTTAAAGTAAATATATGATTTTTATCAAGTGATGGTTTCCTTCCGCTGGCTGAAATTGCTAGCTCATCTGATTCTCATCCTCCTGCTGCTCCTCCTTTCTTCAGGGGTTTCATTAGGATTGAGGCTGAAAACTGAGGATTATCCCTTTACAACGCATCGTAAATACAGTATTGGTTATCCTTCCATGAAAGAAACAGTATCCATTTTGTTGCTCCTCTTGGTATTGTCATGCAATCAAATCAACATTTCAGGAGGTTTGCGGATTGGCATTCACTAATTTTTGCAAGTCACCCCACGTTAGGTTGTAAACGGTGCTTGCAGGTCTTTGTAAAACATCCATAACAAAATCATTATCAGTCTGCAATCAGATTTTTTGGGATTGTTGACAGACCTTTAGCTTTAGTCAGTCGAGTTCCATATTTCACTATTTGCTTCACCGTACATTGAGTTAGTCAATAAATGCGATTTAATTGTAGAGATGGTCAAATAAGGATTGTAACCCCAAATTTCTATTCATCGGTTCCGAATGAAGTTGAAAAGGTCTGAACCATACTCTTTTGAAAAGAGTGCAAAAATGTTGCAGTTGCTCCACCTTGGCCTACCCTTAACAAAAAGGATACTGACTCTTTTATGCCCACTTTGGAACCATAATGCTGTCTCTCCAGAGTCATAGTCATAAACTTTACCTTAGCCATCATCTTCAATAGAGAAACCGCTAATGAAACCCCTGCCTTCTGCTTTAGAGCTGAAACTACCTCTGCAGAGAACCTCCTCAGTCCCTTACTTGCCATATCTTCTTCTTTAACAGTGTTTTCTTTTCCCTTGCTGCACAACCAGGCTGAGCTCTCTTCGTGCACACCTTCTTATTGTGCTACAGAGGTATACTGCACGTGTTTTTGCATAATATGCACTGTGTTGCTTTGCGCTGTGCTCTCCTGTGAGCACAGTACAGTATTTACAATTCTGCATGCTACCTTTGATGGTTTTTTTAAAAAAATCCATAGTAAAATGAGCAGTGTGGTAAGAACATGTGGGGAAGAGCAAAATGAAGTTTGTCAGATTTCTTTTTAAAAACACATATTGATCAATAAAATAACATATCCATTTGTTAAAAAAAGTGGCATAAAAGACTTAACACTGGTTAAAGTACAGCTCAGCTGTGAGATAATGCCATCTTTTAATGTGACTTCGGTAAGTACCCAAAGTGTTAGGAAGGATTTTGCTTTATACTGTTACTTTCTTTCTGCATCTGTTTTTTTTTTCTGGGGTATATGTCTGTGTAAAATAACAGCCCAATTGCTTTATCTGAGTTGTCTTTTCCATGGTGAGATAAAGAAAAAAATGGGTTTAGGAGTACCTCTCACTTTCTTCTCTATGTTTTCGTATATTTCACAATTGACAGACTAGTTGGGACATAAGCCGACTAAAACATTTTTGGGGCTCTCTGAATTTCCTCTATATAGCAAAGTCCCTTTGAGTGCTGAAAGGCTTGACCTGCTTTCAAAAGCGTACATACATTTTCTTTTGTGTGACATCTGCAAGATAATCTTTTTGCACCTCTCTAATTGTGATTTAGGAAAGATGGAATTGAAGAAGTGTGCAGAAGCACGTTATAATTGATTTTTTTTTGTGTCTTTCGAATTGGTATTAAAGACACTTCATCTGTCCTGAATGGCAGATACACAGAACTCAGCAAGCTTTCATGCCGCAGCCAATTCCTCAATAGTATTGACTTCAAGGGAAAGGGGATATTATTAGTAATTCTGTTGAATTTTTGTCATTTTGTTTTGACTCGCCCACTGGTGTAATTGTACTGTTGCGCTCAGCAAGTCAATCAGTAAATGACTAACCTTGATAACAAGTGAATCCTATATTTACCACTCTGATACTTTTTTTTACTTGCGTTCCCAGGATAACGACTTTAATACATTTCAAATAAGGCTCTATAGCATGAGAGCGGTGAGGCAGAATTGTAGTCCTGTGTGAATTGAACGTTCAGCAGTTTACATACCTTTTGATTATTTTTTCTTCTGCTTTACTCCAGTACAAATAGGAAATGATTCAAACCAAATAGATTGGATTAAAAACATAATGTAAAGGGGTACATTTGGCAAAACTCTAATTATTTAATCTTTCATACGTGGACTAAAAACCCATTGCATTTCCACTTAGCATAAATAAGATGGCATCAACAAGGATTTCCTCCTTCAATCAGAGTTAGCACCTTAACATCCTCCTGACGTGAAATTTGTTGTTGTTGTTGAAATGTTCCTTTCTATTGTATTATGAGAGCACGTCTATGGGTGGCTATTTTCAGTTTTATTTCCTTTTTAAAAAGGTGAACAATGTTTTGCATTGTTATTTGAGCATTTTGTCAATAGGTGTGGAATAGAGGTTGGAAATGCTGCAACCATTCATATTAAATGAGGCTATTATTTGGGTTTGCACAGTTGAAACAGAAGTACAATGTGTGTGCAACCTTTTTTTGTTTTAAACCTGACAAAATAAGATTCTTATCCTGAGTTTTAGATGTCAGCCTAGCTCAGTTGGTAACATTCTCATCCCTGAGTTGGAAGATTGTGGCTTCTAGCCCCTTGATGGGATTTTGAACTCTCATTCTAAGCTGACACTCCACTGTAGTGCTGCACATTTGCTGCGCTGTTGAAGATGTTGGACTTTAGATGAGATGTTAAACTGACGTTCCATCTACCTGTTAATATGGATGTTAAAGATACCATGGCACAACTCGAAAAGAGAATGGAGTTTCTCCTGGTGTCCTGACAAACAATCCCCCAGATAAAATTGATAAAATAACTTCATAGCTATTTGTGGGATATTGCTGTGCCATGTTCGCCTACACATACAGTCACTACAATTTACAATAGAATCCTGTGAAGTGTTTTGAGATGTCCTCTTGACATGAAAAGTGCTATACCAAATGCAAGGATTATTATAATATACTTGTTGTTATAAACTACATAAAGGGCTTCCTGAATGTAATTTTAAATAAATAAATCGTGTTATAATTGTATGTTCACAATTGTGATTAAATAAAAAATAATTCCTATGTGCAGATTGTCATTAGGAGCAAGGGGAGTTACTGGGATATTTTGTTGGAAAGGGATATTCAACATTGGATATAGTTGTTCAATATCAAAACTATTAATTTTTGTCTTGACTTAATCTTGCAGACTTCCTGTACAGTGTCTACCACAGCAAGTGCTTGAATATAAACTTCCTGTAACATTATTGCTCAGCTTCACGTAGTAATGTCTGCTGAGTTCAACACATGTAATTGAGCTGAGGGAAACATCCTGCACTAACAATACTTACCCTTAGCAAAAATGATGCTTGATCAACTTACAATTGCATCTTCATTGGCCTTTAACTCATCATGCAAAACAGACATGGGTGATATGGGGGATACAACTTCTACATGAACAAATAGGAGCGAATAATCCAGTTAGTTGTCTAGAAAAAGATTGGACTAATTGACTGATCCTAATTCATTTGGTTTTGACTATTTGAGAATGAGCACCACACGCAAAGGGTGCAAGCTTGGTCAGATGACCTGATTAAAAATCGAGTCCCACGCAAATAGATTAAAATGTAGACATTGATCCATCTATATTGAACCTGACTGGAAACTCCTCCCCCCCTTCCAAATGCGGCTTAGGTGTACAAAAAAAAACAAGTCCAGTCCAGATCAGCACAAAGGAATCAGAACAAAATCAAAATCCATTCCAAAATAAAAGTATCTTCTGTCAAATAGTCTTGTTACATTATTGTAACAAGCTGTGTTCAGTACTCTGAGACACTACCCCCACATGAAGGGTGCTATATAAATGCAAGTCGTTGTTATTGTTGTTACACTTTTTCTTGCATTTTGACCATATTTGAAGCTGGACAGTGTGCTGATCTCCAGAAGAAGTGAAGCGAGCTGGATGTTTGATTAACTGTGTGCTCCTGGGGTCTTGTCATTTACCTTTGTGTTAAAAATACAAAACACCAAGCTTTTTGAATTTGTATTGAATATTCATAAGAAAAAAAGTACAGCCATTAGTAAGTACAGTAATTTTGGAAACCATGTAGTTTTGGCCCACAGGTTAGGTTACCAAAGTGAACGCTAGCTCAAGCAGAGTTTGTTATTGTGCTGAATAAAAATTAAGCAGATATTTGCATATTTTTATACTTCTAGATGTTACTGCGGTGATTAGTTAATGCTATGAAATGGGGGAGGAAAAAAGGTTAATTTAAGGTTGGCCCTTCATTGATGCATCCATAAGGATTTATGAAAGTTTTCATAGAAATGCTAGCAATTCTTTTTGAAAGATTTTAATCATTTCCATTGTGGATCTCTGTTGTAAGTTAAGTACCTCATCAAGAGTGTGGCAGGTTTATTCACCACAAGACAATTATGAAATTCACCAAAATATATGTGATTGGAAATGCTCCGGGAATGTATTGAAATAAAGCATATGATGGTGTGGAACAAAGATTCATAGTCATGAAAAAATAACAAAAAAAATTGCATGGGGGAAAAATAGTTTTTTTTAAAAAAACTACGGCACCTATTACCTTCAAAAGGGATACACGTTTCACATTCACAGTGTCGATATTGCATTGTGTTGGTACAAGGGCTTGTTGCTGTTCATATACAAAGCTAACTATTATAAAGTAATACTGGCTTGAAAGGTAAACACAATTTATTGTGTAGCAATCAAAGTCTTTTAAATGGTATAATTTGTATATTTGTATTTAAAAGATCATGACAAACTATAAGTATTAGTTTATTTAATTTTGAAACTGTGTCTTCGTTTCGATTAGTTCAGAACAGATATCCAACCTACATATTATAAGTTTTTTGATGATGGACAATTACAAGTTGTCAACATTACAAGTTGTCAACAATTTCATGGCCTCTACCAGGGCTGCTCTTTACCCAGGTGATAAAAAGGGGAAGGAGAGTGCTTAAGTACAACACATTGTGGGACATTGTTTGGCTTCCTCTCAGTCTCAGCCACTCTATTGACTTCCTAAGCTCCACTATTTCCTTTGATTTCAAATGGAATTCTCATATCTCCTTCACTTGTAAAGATACTTGCATTGAACTCCGTTTCCTCTTTCACATCCTTTACATTTATTCCCTCTCCACTGACTCTTAACTCTTTATAAGGCTTATGTTCGTCCAAGGCTTAATTATTGCTGCCATATCTTGTGAGCTTTTTTCTCTATCACTCTTTGCACTCCTAGACATGATATAAGAAGAGGCTTCTATTATGAAAGTTAATCCTTTCCTTACCCTCCATGTCCGTTCTTTCTTTCCATGTCAGAATGTTTCTTGGCTCTCAATTTGCGACGATGATTTGGTTATTGCACATCTGAACTTATTGCACTTTTCTTATTACTACCTACCTTCTGATGCATCCTCCTACACTTTCTTGATTCTCCCTGCATCCTCACTGATTGAAGTAATGGTTTGCAGTCAGCCATCAAGATGATTAGACTGAAGAATTAAGTTCCTGATTTTAATTTAACAGGTATAGTGCAATCTGTCTGTTGTAGACTCTCAAGGGAATGGTCCTGATTGCTCATTCCACACCGATGACCAATTTATTAAAGTTGTCAACTGGCAAACTTCAAATCCAACGTTAAATTAGAGACAAATTCTACCTCAGATAACTCCATTCATTTTTGCCAGTTTTTGAAAAATCTGAAGTAGATTATAGACTTCTAATTCAAGATGCTGTCAAATTCTTCAGAGAAAGACCTCCGGCTATTCGTGGGAACATGTTTAGAAATATGTCACTGCTTTCGTCACTTCCAGTAAACCAAGATTTAAAAACCTCTGAGATTTGCAAACTGGTCAATGTCGGATGTAGATGAATGCAGTTGTGGTAAATAAAGTTGCTTTTGCACACTATTATTGTTTTGAAATGGACCAAACTGTGCAATAACATATGTGTTTGTTCCAGCAGCATCTAGTTGGGGTACTGTTCATTTAAGTGTTCATTTATGGTCCTATTTGAGAGTGAGACAGATTGAGTGCACAGATGACTAATATAAAGAAGATAATTCCTATGAACGGCTATTGCCTGGGACCACAATTGCTGCTACAAACATGACCAACTCAAATTCCTACTCACCCATTCTTTGCTGTCCAGGTGGAAGGACAGGATGCTTTTTTTCCTCTTTGACCGTGCCTTCGGCCACCCTCCCACCTTCATCCTCCCACCCTCCACGCATCTTGATTCCAACCTCCAGCTCTGGTGCAAACCCTTGGCTGTCCAGATCCTTGGAACGTCCTTCCAACGTGAAATGTGCTATATAAATGTAATTTGTTGATACTGTTGTTCTATTTGTTAAAGTACTTTCAACTACATAAGTGCTTAAACTAGTGCTTAAACTACATAAAATCCAACTCTTAAGAGAAGAGTATTGATCCTTCTCCATGATGCATCATGTGTACTTGATTCTTAGTATCATTTGTAAATATGCTGTTTGTCTAAATTAGAGATATATTCTGCCTCAGATAACACAATTCAATTTTGCCAATCAAATTTTTTTTGAAATCTAAGTATTCAAACTTCTTGTTACAGATTTCCAATTCAAGATACTTTCTTGTCAGGTTATTTGGAGTAAGACATCCTTCAGTTCAAAGAAATAAGTGTAGAAATATTTCACTGCCTTTAAAGCAAGGTTTAAAACCTCTGACAGACTGGTCTGTGTCAGAGATGTTTCAGAAAGAAAACACTCATTTTCTTCAGTGCTTGCTTTTAAGTATTCTCCATTGACCGAGTATGTGTTTCCTTTCTATTGCATTTCAACTACAAATGTTCAGCAGTGTCCCCAGTGTCTGTCCCCAAACAGTTTACCAAAATTTCATATTTATGAGTTCAGAGGTTGTGTACAATTGAGACTGCAGGAGATTGATGGGCAGTTTTGTATCTGTGTTTACTCCTCCAAGAAGCTATCCATCCTAATCCCAATTCTTTGCTCTTTCCCCATACTCTCTGATACCTTCCTCTCAATGTGCTTGTCCAATTCTTGATACTTTAATTAATTTCTATCCTTAGTGGGTTAAAAATACTGCACGCCTTGCACAAAAGAACTATACATTCATCATCAGCGGGGAAGATGAGAAAAGCAGTTGGAACTTCTTTTATTTTAATGTATTATCAGTAATGTCCACTTTAGCTTGTCAGTCTGTAATTCAGATTAATTGTCATCTCATTCACCATCTCAATGCCATGAAATTTACATTTAATTTGCCTTGACTTTCTGCACGTTACATCATCGTGCATTTCATAAAAAATTTAGAAGAGCAGCATGTATATGCATACATATTAAATATAGATTTAAGCCACATTTCCATAAACCTGCATTTGTTTATAGATGTGCCCTGGAGCTGCCTATTTTTGCTCCCTATTGGTATATTCAGCCTTCAGCACAGCTTGTTGACTGAGGTGAAAACGTCCACTTGAAGTACTGTGTTTGTTTGCCTGATACATATCGTCTAAAAAAAAATTATAAATGTATGAGCCTCTCTATGATCGCCCAAGTATAGTGCTTTTCATTATAGTTACCTGCTTCTGCCCATCTAATCTCATGAGCATGATGCTCAATCATGGTTGTTAAAGTAGTGTGCATGTGTCGTATATTCCCTTTTGGGAACAGTTTCCAAATCAAAAATTCATGCTTGCCAGATCATTAAGATGTGTAACAACTGAAGTTTTGTTCAATAAAAATCATGTTCGGTCTGGTGTAAGCTGAATTTTCTCGACTCTCCTCTGAATTAAGACAAAATTCTACTCAAATAAGTTTCAAAGTAAAAAAAAATGTGAGTGGTAGAGATTCAATGTTACGTAATTAGTAACAGTTCTATCTTTCTTTGTAGAAATGTCCCCTGTCATATTAAAGAACTTGCTCTTTAACTAAACTGAAGATCGAATTATTTTAGTCTCTCTGCATGCTCCCAAAATAAGCTTTTTTTAAAAAGAAACAGTAGTATTTGGGGATTTGTTTGGTCTTTTTCCAAAGATAAAATGTCACATCTGTTTTTAGCTTTAAAATAACTGGAGCATAGATTTAAACTGCTGGTAGGGTTCATGACATATTATAGTTAGGACCTATGATCTGGAATACACAGTTACGGTTAATTATATTCATTAGCTATTAAATAAGGAGACATTTTTATAGATAAGGAATTGAAACTTGGACGAAAGACATTAAAATAAGACTAGATGTTTCCTTGGAGTAAGGGATACAAGTCATCTTGGTCCATTGTCATGCATTCATTGGTGGTCACTTTCAGAACACTGTTAACAAAAAAATTCTTCATGCAAAGGTTTTGTGTAGAATATGGAATCCACTGTATCAGCTCACCACAGATGGCAAAATCAATTGGGATGTTAAAAGGGACACATGCCAGATTTAGTTTATTGGTTCATGATTTCATTTGGCACTATGTCAATTTGCATCATAGTAAGCTTGCATTTTATGAGACATTAAAGTTAAAATGGTTTGTTCAGTCACTGTACTTCCATTTTCCTACAGTAATCCTGATCCTGGACTGGATGCAGAATTTAAAAAATGGTTCTGGAGTTGTATGAGGCTTTCCTGCCACCTGATGTGCCTGTTTTCTAAACAAGCACTGTGATGCTGGGCAGGCTTGGTTCCCATCATTGTTATTCCTCCAATGTCTGGTGCTTTGTGCTCTGTGAGCAAGTGCTGACAAATGTGAGCATCGATTTTTTTTGGTCAACTTCAATATATTCAAAACCCCCTTTCCAATGCTTTAAGAGTATTCAGACACGGACTGAGGCAGCTCTTAAACATGACGTATGAGTGTCCTCATGTGTCAAGAATCCCAGCTGACCAAACAAAAAACTACTGTAATTTCTTTAATTATGAGGCACATTGCACAGTGTGGGCAAGTGTCTATAAACAGGACACCCAGGCACTGGGCAGATCCATGGTACCTATTTTAGTATAGACACATGGAGTGTGAGAAAATCAAGAGACAGAAAAAAATGCATCAAAATAAACAAAGCAACATTGAGCTTAAAATGGATAGAAAGTATTCTCACAGAGAGAGAACTAAAAGGTGAGGGGAGAGGAGAAGAGAACAAACTATTTGTTCTCCCCTGTGATCCTGTAATGGTTTTGCTGATTATGCACACTTTGAATCGAAGTATCTTTACAATTTCATCCTGTATAAATTTTGGGGAGTGTTCATTCTTTGTATTTGTGTGTATCAACAGGACAGCCACCAAAGGAATGCAGGAAGTGTCTGATTATAATAATATTTACGCCTAAAGACCTTTGATTTGTTCGTGCGCCTGCACCTCCTATGAAAATTTATTTTGGGTTTGCAATTGTGACTCCATTTTAAAATTTCACTTTAAAACTTTAAAAAGGAATTTGCTTCACTGGCACACTTCACGACTCTCACCAGGCACATCAGTCTGATAGGTCGTTATCTTAATGAATATAGTCGCGCTGTTGCATACCATTCAGCCTGCACTTGATAACTCTGTTACACGTTGCCTTTTATTGTGAGATGGGGAGGGAGGAAATGTGTTGGTGCTGTCAGGGATGGAAATATAAATTGAATGAGGCATCATTTTTAAAATAATTTCAGACATATATCACAGTTTTTTTTTGAATGGTCTGGTTTTTTTTCCTTCCATTTTTCACTTTTTCGTGCCTCAGTATCCGTTTCTTCCAATTGTAGTTTTATTGTTGTTTTTCTTGCACTATTAATCTTTTCGATCCATGGTATCTGCTTCAATTTCACCATATCAAGAATACAGAGGCCTGTGCACTAAATAATGCTGTTAGGGGTTGTGATGATGAATGAAAGGGAGGCAAAACAGAAGAGGTTCAATGTAATACAACATCATTCTCCGTCACCAGTTCATTGGAAAGCTTGTGTTTTCTTTGTCCTGGAATCCATTTGTACTAATTCCCATCCATCCCACCAGACTTCGATGCCAACAGCAGATTACAAGGCAGTTCAATTACACTCATTTTTCATTCAGTGTCAAGTTGCTTTTTCTATCGATCCTCCTTTATTCCTTTTTTTCATGTATCTGAAAGAATCTTCCATAGTATGTTTTTAGCCTAGCAAAAAAATGTATGTATGGTTCTGGTAACTTGAGTCAATCCCAAAGATCTTCCTGGAAGGATTTTCATTATTTCTTAAAAGAGACTTCAACCTGAATTTATTCCAAGCTGCATGGGGGGGGAATATAACCTGCAGAATTGTCAATTACTATATCCTGATGGGTTGAAAGAAAGTGAGAGGGACGCTGACCTATCGAATTAGGCATGTTCTTTTTTTTATTTAGAAAATACATTAGTGATCAATACAAGTGTAATTGTTTATCTGTATAGGATTATGGTTGGGATGGGGGGCATAGCATGCAGTAAATTGCTATTTGCTTTATGTTAGTTTATTTTTGTTTCCTTTCTGTGCTAATGGCCCTGTTTGCTTGAATCAGTAAGCAGTTCCTGCCTGCTTTTTTGCCCCAGTCTTTTGAGTCTTGTGTGCGGGTTAATGCTGGTGGTTCCACAATCTGCATGTGTTTTTTTAGTGTGTTGGTAGCAAGTGTGTTGAAAAAAATGTATTAGGCCAAACCTATAATAAACCTCTCATTAGTTTTGTTTACGTATCTCATTTCTTAAAGAAATTTATTAGATTTCTGAGCTTCTCTATTCATTATAAATCTTTTGTTTTTGTTTACGCATTAGCTCCACCATAGGTTGGAAGGGCTTAAAGATGAACTCAGAAGGCATAGAGGATACAACTCGCGAGTAACTATTACTGATCAAAGGAGCTGTTACCATTCGCAAACTTTGCTTTGCGCTATGAGTTTCAGCTCCTTGCTACTCTATCTATGTGAAGATTCTTGACTGTCTGTTTCTTCCACCTTAACACTGTCCACTAGTCTGCGCCTTTAGCATTTGTCTTAGAATCTTTCAGCTTTTGATTCATTTTCTCATTTAGAGCCTCCTAATTCATATATGGTGTAATTCCTGGTGTTATTCTGTGTCTGGTTGAGTGTGTGTGTGTGTGTGTACATGTATTTTTTTCTTTCATTTCTAAAGAGTAATGATGGCACCAGACACACAAGCCCTTCTACATGGATTAGTTTATTGCAACATGCCATGTTCATTTCTGATGACCTTTTCTCCCCATGCAGTTTTCATGGCTACTTGTGCTCAGCAGATCAGCCACGCATCAGTTGCAACTTTTCTTTGAGCTGCTGTGTTTTGTCTTAATAACCTTTGCTCTTCATTTTGATGGTTTTTTAAAATTTCACACATTTGCAGTTTATATTCTAGGATGAAGAATCATAAGCTTCCCTCATTGTGGCATCCTTGCACAAAATTATCATTTCATCGTGGTAATCCAGCTTTGTTCATCATGATCTTTTCTTCTGTAGAGCTCGCTGCATGTCTGTACTTATCTGAGCCTGGCAGTGCCTATTCTAGACTTAAATAGAATTCATTCTCTTTGCAGGTCCAGTCAAGATGCAGCAGCAAAGAAAATATTCTGAGAGCCAGTGAGTATCTTGTCTCTTTTTTTGTTCTCCAACATACATTTATTACAATAGAAGTATTAAAATGTTATTCTACCTGAGTAAAAATGGTGACTGTTTCATCTTGGAATTGCAAACTATCTGGGTGTATAAGACTATAGAATCAACTCTGTACATGTCTCAAAGGAAACGGTGAACTAGTCAATAGTGTTGGAGTGGAATCAAGAGAAATAATGCAACTTTCATAACCTGTTGGAAGTTGTCATCAGATCAAGGCTGATGTCATTTCCTGTTTGCTGCACATCAACAAAGCAGGAAGTGACAGTGATTTGATGACATGGAAGTTGGCCTTTAAATCCACCTGATGTTCAGAAATTGAACACGTCAGCTATGCACATGCTCATTGAATGGAGTCCATAATTTGCATGAGACTTATTCAAAAAGACAATTGAGTTTTACCCGGGTTCCTGATCAGTACTTGAAATTTATTGGTCATTCACCTCATGGTTGTTTGTAGGATGTTACTGATTCAAATGGCTACCATATTTGCCTGCAAAAAATAATCCTCACAAATGACAGAAATTATTTGCAAGGTGTTTTAAGGCGTTTTGATGTTGACAAGGTGTTATAAAGTGCATGTCGTTTATTTTCAATACATGAGAAAAATCTAATCAAATTTTCATAAAACCAACACTGAAAATTTCAAATCTCTAATGATTTAGAAAGTCAATATTGAATTGAGCCATTTCTTTATTGAAATAATTCGGTTCCGTATAGGATTGGATTTAGTCCTGTTACGTTCCTTTTCATGGAATGAGTTTCAAGTAAATATTTACTTATAAAGTTATCACGATAATTGTCTTCAATTGGAGTACATCATTAAAGAGGGGTTGCTGCTTATAGAGTGAGCAAAGAGTCCAATTGCAGTGATTGGGCTGGGAAAGGTGGGATTTGAGGAAGTATTCTTCCATTCTTACTCAATGTTATGCAAAGTCTAATCACATTTGATAAAAACTTGCTGCTGGAAATTCTATAGCTGATTGAACAAAGTTTAGTCTGATTTGAATCGTTGGTGGTTGCTGAAATTTGAACCGTGTATTAACCATGTGCCATGATCAGATCACTGAACAAATGGAAGACCAAAATCATGCTCCACTGATTTTAATTTATTCATTTCACTTATTTAAAAAATGTGAACCTGGATTTAAATTTGTGATTTTGAAATCTGATTTAAAGAGGTTTGGTGGATTAAGTCATTAGCTCTCTTTGTTAAAAAAAATCTGTTTACCATTTCTAAATGCTGGTCAAAATATATTTGCACATTATACATTATTGGCATTGTTAAACTGCAAATGATTGTTACAGTGCATTTAAAGCCGATTTTGCCTCAAGACCTGCAAGTCCTTATTAAAAAAAATCATACTTATCTTCACCTAATGAATTATCTTCACCTAATGAATAACTGTTTGCTAATAAATTCAGTCTGCAAGAATAGTCACTGTGCTCAAAAGCAGAGTACAGATTAATTAAATGTGTTGTATGGTATCAGACCCCACAAGAAATGCAGCAGAAATGCTGAGCAGTGTACTTGATCCCAGAGCATTTTAAATTTTCAAGAAGCAGTCAGTAGTCAGAGTCTCCCTTGGTAATAGCATGCGATGAAATTCAACCAGGTTGAAAGCGGGGATTCTTAATATGATGATCATGCAATGTTTAAGAGGTTTATAATGAGCATAAGTGCAATTATTAGTTATGCAGTAAATATATTGTGCAGAATATAGATATTCCAAAGTTAACAAGCCCAGAAGAGCAAAGAGGACTTGTTTTCTCTTTTAAATTTGCTTGTTTGTGTTAATTTGGTTGTTCATACTGTTCTTCCCCCTCATTTGAGACTGTACTCTGTTTATTGCCGTATCTAAGAATACTATATAGTCGGATGTGAGGGGGGAAAATATTGAGAATTTGGGATCAGCAGTCAGTGATAAGTGTTGATAATTGTGGAAGAACTTGATATGGATAACGATTTAAAAAATAATTGTCTATGGAGTGTCTGTAGAGATTGATGGTGAATTCTGACAGAATAGAATAGAAATTTACATTTATATACAGCATCTTTCACATCGGGATGACGTCCCAAGGCGCTTATAAAAGCTTGGGTCTTCTGATCACTAAGCTCAAAAACCTTAGAAAGAAAAAGATTTCCGTGTAATGTTTAACAAGTATTTTGTTCATACTCGGAATGCTGATGATGAGATATTTATCTGGCACATCTATGTTGCTGGACTACCAGTGAGTTACATCTTGTCAGGTGCTATGAGCTTCTTGGTTTGGTTAATAAAGCATTCGGAAAATTTCATCTGTCACTCCAAAGATACAATTAGGTCAAATGTCAGTAATGTGTCTCTCCGTTGGCTGAAAAAAAATGTTTTTAATGCTGCTTTAAGGCAGTCTGAGAAATGTGTTCATTGATGTCGGTACCAGCTTGAAAATGGCAGGTGAGTTTGAGACAGAGGAAAATGGGTGATTTTTTTCTGGATTAAAATCCATTGAGAAATAATGTGCATAAAATAAGAAGAGAAGAAGAGAAGTAAGACTGAGCAGAGGTAATGATTCTCGATTCTTGGTGTATATTCATTGGCATAGTAATACTTCAGTACTGCAAGTGTGCCTTGCAGTGAATGAACTGAAGCATTTTTTTTGTATAAGTGGCAAAGCCAGCTAAATGCAGAATCCCTGAAAATTACTAAGCTGTCAGGGTTAATTCTGTTACGTGCTTCATATGATATAATTGAATTCTTTGCATGAATCGTGAAAGTACAGAACATCCATTCAGTTTTATTTGTCCCAGAGAAGTAGTATTAGTGTGTACACGTCATCATCATACCGATTTGTTCATCTTGTGTAGATTGATAGCAGCTGAATAGAAATTACCCCGGGTATAACCAAATACAATAGCAAATATACAAGATTACTAATGCTATACACTGTGTGCAACAGTTCTTAACGTTTCGCCCACAAAATATACAGTCAATTCACTTCACAGTATAATCTGTGAAGCGTTTTGAGACGTCTTGAAAACTTGATAAGGCGCTATATGAAATGCAAGGATTATTATTATTGTATCTTTAATTGTATTTTAATCCACAAAGTGGAATGATTCCTGTTTTTTTCTGAATTTTCTGCTTTCCTTTTGAAATCCCCAATATCCACAACTTCCTGATAAGCTGCAGGACAATTGGCTATAATGTAAAGTATCCCAGACACAGAAAGAGAACCCACAACAGTATGTGTGATATTTTAACTGTACCAACAGTAGTGGCACTTCCAGATTTTTGCTAAATTGGAGACAGTTTCAAAGATTCTTTCAAAAGCAAATTAGATATCTTGTGGTACAGTATATAGTTTAGGACATGACATGTGCAAGCGACTGCCAGGATGGAGGAAGGCGAGCTGGATGGATCTTGGTCTTTTTTCGTCTGGCAGTTCTTATGTTCTTATACGGTTTTGTGCTGGGGGATTGTACCTTTTGAGATATGCAGACTGCCCAAGCTCATTTCACATCGGGCACTTATAGCTAACCAACCGTGGAGACAGTCATCCTTCCAGGTTCTTGTATATATGTTAGTAATTTTTTTTGAATGCTTACAATGCCATCAAGCTGTGTTCATGATAACTGAATATTCTAGAGCACAACAATGGAGATGCACTGGACACTATACAACTATCAACATTGGCAGGGTTCCAAATAACAAGATTGTTTCATTAAATATGAATTTCTATTATCTAGCCTTCTTGCTCCAACCCTTAGCCAGAGCAACCTGTACCCAAACTAGGTGATGTGAGCATTGAACTGTATAGTACATGACTGCACTACATCATTCCATGCCAACTAATGCAGCTTTAATATTTAGCTGGTTTTTTCCCCTTACAGCATTGAGAGACCAAATAGTCACTGCTTCGTTAGCTGATCTCTGGCTCTGAAGTGGATCCATCTGGTGCTTCTTGAATACTAGACTGTAGGATAGAATTAACACTCATCGAAAATCAAGTCCAGCATGGCATTTTAATTTCTTTTAATGGGATTCATTCCCATGAGCTCCTGATTAGAACTGGAGCAGTTAGTGTTATTTGATAAGGGACTGGTTCAATTTGAAATCTGTTATGGGTAGGACTCAGATCTCAAGATATCGTTATATCACACCTGCCAATGCAGCACAGGCAATACCATTTTGGTAACAATGTGAGTGAGAGCTGCATTGATAATGTCCACTCGCACTGCAGTGGAAGGGTTGGAAGTGATCTGAAATGTTGAATCACATGTAGCGTTCACTGGTTACCAAATCAATGAATGCAGGTCACCACTTGACTTGGCAAAAACACTTCACTAGTTAAAAGTAGACTTTACACCAGTTGTGATGTAAGTGCTGTGCAATATTTAGAGGTAAATATTCAAGATCCTCATCCTCACCTACAAGGTCATTCACGGCCTTGCTCCCTCCTACCTCTCCGACCTACTATCCCCCTACTTACCTGCCCGTACCCTCCGTTCCTCTGGCTCCGGTCTGTTCCACATTCCCCCACCCCAACCGCCCTACCATCGGTGGCCGGGCCTTCAACCTCTCAGCCCCTAGGCTCTGGAACTCCATCCCCCAGTGCCTTCGCCTTGCTTCTTCCCATTCGTCTTCAAGGCCGGTCTCAAGACCTTTCTCTTTGACCGTGCCTTCAGCTCCCCTCTCAACTCTACCCCCTCCTCGCTCCCTCCCTTCCCTCCCCTCACCCAGACCATTTCCCCCTTGCTCGGGTCTTGACCCAACTGTCCAGCGCCTTGGGACGTCCTCCCGACGTGAAAGGCACTCTATAAATGAAATCTTTTTGTTGTTGTAAATATGACCATGACATTCTGACTTTTACTGAGAGAGAACCAAGCCTCTATTTGATAACTTTCCATATTTAAATTTAATGTGCAGGGGATCATCATAGGAAGAGCCCCTCTCCAAACATTCATCATCACAGTGTACCCAAAA